CAGCCAGGTGGGGACCGAAGTGAATCGTGGGGACCATTCTCAGGTCCCCACGGGTCCAAATGCATGTTACAGGTTAGGACCAAGGTTTTGGTTAGTTTTAGGGTCAGGTAAGTTTCTGTGAGGTTAATTTTAGAGTATATGGTCAGGGTTAGGATATAAAGTCTAAAAAACATGAATGGAAGTCAATGGAAGGTCCCCACGGGGTCAAGAAACAAACATGTGTGTGTATAATCCTTCACTTTCTGCAACAGGCAAAATTATTGAAGTAAGAAACGAAGTGTTTTTTAAGATAATTTTGTGCTGTCCACAGGAAATGTTTGATTCCATTTATTCTGGTATCACCCAATGATTTTTTTCTTTTCTATAATCTGGCCTAATTCCTGCAGATGTCACTGTGAGCATATTTGCAGAATTCCAGGGACTTTGACAGAGGTTTAGGATGTGTGAAAACTCCAYAGCAAATCTCTTGGGCAACTGGGATTTCTTTAGCTTTCTGCTCGCCCTGCTGGAGTCCAGACTTGAGTCAGACATGACCACACTGAGACTGAACCAACAACCCTRGAATCCCTCTGAAAAGAGGAGGGAGTGTGTGGTGGTGGGATGAAATAAGTCGTGACTTTTAGGTGGCTTTTCCTTTTTTTTCTTTTTTTTCATAAACAAGGTGTCTAGACAGGACATTCTTCTCCCATCCCCAGTTCCTCGAGTGTGTCTGGGCCCCCAGATAAGAGCGCTCTGYCTGTTATGCTCTCAATGTGTGGCTAATTAGCTCAAAGCTTCCTGGATGGCCAATGCAGAGCAGGTGTGGGTTGTGCGCAGTCATCGCCTGGGGGCAGCTGAGAGAGGATTGGCCAGTGAGCCAGAGCTGTGCATTAATAAGCAGTGGAAACTAACCACAGTATTAAGAGATGGAAACCATTAACTGCCTGTGAGAAGTTTTATGCTGTTTTTCCATCCATACTGTTTGGATCTTTTTTTTTTTTCATAAGTCTCCAAAAGCCAGGAAGACATTCCACAATGTAGCATAGTATTCAATTGGAAGCCTTGTTTGTTCCCCCTAGAAACAAATCGCTGCTCTCAGAGTCTGTGGTTAAGTACACACACACGAACACTTTGCTACAACAGGAACACTCTGTCCTTTACTACACAAGTGAAACGTTAGCGTGCTTTTTGTCTCAAGTTTTGCAGCAAAGCACACATGAATAATTTCACTAATTTATACCTGCTTTCGATCAGACACTTCGCAGAGCTCGATTTCAAGGTCCGAGTTTATGCACGTGGCTGCGAAGTCAAGCCCCCACCCCACTTTTTTAAACATTACACACTGTGTTCTCCAGCCATAAGGAGAAGTTACAGTACAGACTGTGAAATGGTGCATGCCTGACTGTGTGCTGTAATGTTGTCTAGTCATGCCAGCGTGCTGAGAAAATATGTGACTTAGCAGAAGATGCAAAGCAGCTGTTAGTCGGCCCCGGCAGTTTGAGGGAAGAGGAGAGTCTGCAGCCAAGTGGATGGAGGGATCCTGGCCTGAAAAGGGTCAAAATCAGGGGTTAAGTTTATCTTGTCATGCTGAAGGAGGCTTGATTTGCTACAGTCTTTTTTTTTAATGTGCAATTACTGCAATTTGACTATAATTAAATCCAAAAAAATCATGATAAACTAATTCTTTTCCTGCTGAGAGTTTGATCTGATCCAGAAAAACTTCCAATGAAGTGATGAAACACACATTTTTTTATGCTTTTGGTAAATTTAAAAGAAGCACATCAGTCTAATTAGATGCCCATCAATATGACACCATGAGTTGTTGGTTTCTTCGTGAAATCTTTTCTTGAAAAGCTGTCTGACTAAAACCCTTTAAGAGATTCATTTAACCATATTGCATGAGTCAGATAATGGAACAGGTCATCTGTTGTCTTTTAATTCATTTGTAAATAAAACATTTCTGCGCAGCTATGTAGTCATAAACCCCCTCTATCAACTAGCATGGACCGTTCTATAAGCTGGAGGGGGGCGTGGAGTGAAGCGCCTCGTGTGGATTTAAAGAGACAGCCTCAAAATGAGTTGATCTGAGACACACTTAAGAAAAGGAGTGAAACAGGGGCTTGTGGAGTTACAAGAAGGTGTAATTCAGACCAAAGTATTGCGGTTACACTTTATATAGACCCCGACTGGATGGTTTATTGTAAATGTAAAAGCACGTCTCTTTTAAAGTGCGTGTGGCATGCTACAAAATGTCCAACAAAATACAGAAACTTTGCATAACACACACAATTTTGCTCATTTTGTTACATATCTGGCATAGTTTATTTTGAACTTGGCTCATTCAAAATGAAACAGGAAGTGACATCAAAGGGGAACTCTTTAAAGGCACAGTGTGTAGGATTTGTTGTTTCCAGCGACATCTAGTGGTTGAGTGGTTGAATCATCCTCCCTGGTCCTCCCCCCACCCCCGCTTCCAAACGCAAAGGAGTTGCTACGGTGTCACTCAGGTGTCAAAAAGCTTTGATAATTCCAACCGCGATGTCTACCAGCAGCTTCAGGGCTAGTGATGTTTCAAGTGGTAAGATTATGAGCTTTAATAAGTCAAATTATCCCAGCTACAATGACAGACAACAAACGTAACATTTATAGTATTACAACTAAAACCGTTTTTGATGCCGCCACCACAGTTTGTCCTTCATGAGCCTTCGTAGACAAGATGGCGGCTGCCTGTACTGGTGACCCGCGACCATGGAGATATAAACAGCTTTTTATAAGGCAAAAATAATAAAACAAGGTCTTTRTCTGCAACGATTAGACGTGTTTTTAATTATTGTCATTAGTGAGTATCCCAATTTCGGCTAAAAGAATTGACAAAATCCTACACACTGTGCCTTTAAGAAACTCTCTGGTGTTTTTTATTGAAACATTTGAACTCTGACTCCACTTTACTCTCTCTGACATTGATTCAAAAATAATAAAGAACCATCAGATTCTTCTCTACAGTCTGTGTTGTTGGCTGTTGTAGCACTGCTCTATTGACATCATTTCCTGTTATTTACATGCAAATATCTCAACAGTTCAGCTCAACAATATGTTATCAATGTTATCTTTCCAAAAATGCATTCATGTTTATTACAAATATTTGATGTCACAGGCAATGGCTGGCTGCAGACACTCAGCTTCCCTCAAAGTCTTCAGTAGCTCTTCTGTTGAGCTGCTTTTGTTGTGAGGTTAGAATTCTGTCCAGACTGCAAGATAAACAAATCAAATTGAGTCTGGTCTWGATTGAGGACCCGAAATGAGTTTCYAAAAGCTATTTGTCAATTCAGTCATTACTTTTTATCCTGCTGGCTGAGACTTTTCATTACCCTGCTCAGTGGGGTGTGTGATAAATGGCCTATCAGAGATTCAGCATTATTGCTTAAGGCGTACAGATGTGCAGATTTAAGCGCATCGCTTCACTGTCTCATTATTACCAATCAAGTCCCTTAGAAAACTTGACAGCGTACTTGAGTCTCCGAAGGTGTTTGCCCGTTGCCTTCGTGCAACACAAGAACAATCAAAGAGGACGGCGATGCACCCGCGCACCCTCACACCAGCACTGCGTCTCCCATCCTGACCGCCTCTCTCATCTGCGGCGGGAAGCCTTCCACAAGAAGTTCATTACATCCTCTCTCGCCGCTCTCCTCTCAATGCCGCTCTTTGTCCCGTSGTAATCTCTGGATCCTTCAGAAGCACTAGCTTGAGTTTCACTTTGGGGAGTACCTCAATGAGTTTGGAAGGGATTTCAAAGGCGAAAGCGGGGGCTATATCATCCAAGCATGGTCCTCATGTCCTGAGCTTATCTTGACCTGGAGTCAAGCTGGCCGCACGCTGCAACTGAATAGCCCCGTCTCCGTATCCAAATGTTGTTTTAATCGATTTGTCTATGCTGGCAAAGCAACATTTACGAGCAGATGCAAGACTTTCCAGTGAATTTCCTTTAATCACCCCATCATCCGTAGGGTCAAAGGCCTCATCTAGTCAGATGATGCAAAAAAGAAATATGGCACAATTTTGAATTTGGATGACCTTATTACACTCGCAAGCCAGAACAGGCTGCCGTGCGCTAAAAATCCTCACAACTTCCGTACTCAGAGATAAGCCTTCTGTGCACTTACAAGACGGGAAGTGATCTGAGATATCAGTCTTTCAAAGCAGGCCAGCCAAGCCAAGTGAGCTTCACTGATGTGCCAGCCGGCAGCTTTTAATCCTCCTGCGGCCCTCTGTTCTTGAGTGACCATGTTTTTCTCCCCCCCCCCCCCTTTTTTTAATTAAGACCTTACCTGTCCACATCAAAAGGTTTTTCAGATTAGTCTTTTGATCTGACTAAGCTCTTTATTACTGTGTATGGAATATGTTAAGATTTCAACCCAACAATGAATCATCTGTTTTGTGTAAATGTATGCTGCCCGCGTGCTTCGGACCCGCTCGACTCTCCGAGGCTGGCACCGACACAAGACAAAGAGGCCGCAYGGACATACGAGAGCTATCTCAGCGGTGTGCATCTGGTGCAAAGAGGATGATGCCGAGATAAGGAGGGGAAACGAGGGGAAAAATAAGGAAAGCTGAGGAGATTCGGAAACTTCAATAACGAAAACCTCGCACAGTGGAGATTTGTGTGCAAACGCAGAATTCTCGACAAAAAGGGATGTGGTTCATTTTTCATTTTTTTGTCTTGTAAAAAGCAGACAAGCAAATCTTTAAATCTTATTTATTTTAGCCTCCAAATAACAAAATAAATGGCACTTAAAAGTGAATTAAAATGTAACACATTGTCATTATAAAGAGCTTTTTAAAAAAGACAAAAAAGAGAAGCTACGGAATTAGGGTGTTATTAAAAATTTGAAATGTTCTCGTGTTAAACGTCACATATGCATAAATGTAATAGAACCACATAAAAATACATTTTCAACTTACTTTCAGTTGACATAATCTCTTTACTCTATCAGTCTTAATAAGTTATTTGATGCACAACAAAATAAAAAAGGGAWAAAAACAATTTTTGTCCTATTTCTCTGGTTTTAAAGCAGGTTTTATGGCATCTTTGCTACTTAAAAGAAAAACATAATGTCCTAAATGATAAAAAGTGCTTGGGCGTTGGAAAATGTAGTTAAAGTTGCTCTGTGTGGTTAACAATAACCATCATGTCTTCAGTGTAACAACTGTATCTTTGTTGCTCTAACAGGGTGACAAAACAAAACTATTTTTTTTCTCCTAAGCAATGAATCATCCAACTGTTATTTCTTTCCAATGATGTCACCAACATGAGAATCCAGTCAACTGGTACCAAGTGTTTCTAAGTCCCAAGTTACACACCAAATATTTGCTGTTTCCAATCATAAATCACAATTTTAATTCCTGTTGGCATACTGGTGACGTCAAGATTGTGTGACCTGACTTTAAAAATGAAACTCCACTCATTTTCTTACATCACTCTCTGTTTAAAACTCTGATTTTGCAGCTTGCTGCTCATCTCTGCTTGAGACTAACAGCTTGAGGCTACTTTATCTGCAGCAGATCCCACAATCAGGCAGTCCGACTGCCAGCGGGGAGGCTTCTGAAAGCTGGCCAATCAGAAAAAAGTTTAGAGACCTTGAGGAGACAGGAACTTCATTAGGTCAAACATGAGAAATTACTTATTTAAATATATTCTAACTCTTCTGTGAACTCTGCAAAGATTGACTAGTGGATTTTAACAAAATACAAACCTGGAAATAAGCCTTTTTTAAAAGAGGTGGTATTTCAGGAAAATTAAATTCAAAAGCTACAAAKGTAAAGATAACCATTACCACTTTGTTTGAAAACACAAAACAAAAAGACAGAAATACAGTATCTTCATAATGAATGTTACAAAAAAATAGTACCTGCATCATGATTATTCTAATTAAATGTAAAACATAACAGGTACAAGGGGAGCACTGTGTTGCTGTTCTTTAAAAAATGTCACAATCTTGATCTCCCTACATCATTTACTCTGACAAGGATTAGAAAGCTGCATTAATGATGCATTAATTTTTTAAATAAGAACAGATTTCATATGTACACAGGAACGCAAAACCCTCCAGCTTCTCAATAAAACAGCTGCATTTGGAGGAAAAGGTCAGAGAYGCAACAAGCTGCCGTGACCTGAAACCCGAATGAATGGCTAATATTTCAATTTGATTCTTTCCTTCACGACTTTTAACTCATCTTTTTTTCAACAGGACCTTCAACGCCCATCACAATAAAAACATTAAACTATTTAAAATAAAAGAAATATTATTACACTAATCGATCTATTTAAAAAAAAGCATTCTGATAAAAGAGCGAGATTTTAACAAAACTTAATATTAATGAAACTAACATCATCAAAGTAAAAATAACAAAACAAAACAGACGAAAAAGATGGTGTAAAGGCATACAACAAAAAATATTCAAAGCTTAACAAGGTTACTGTAAATGTCTCTTTTTCTGAAAAGCTCGGCTTTTATTTGGGACTTTCACAGTGATCCTCCCTCTCAGATGAACTCCCCTCGGAAAGGAAGTGATTGAATGTTCTGCTGCTGCCAGCGGTACCGCAGCCTGGCCAGCGGCGTGTCTCTCGGGTCCTCGAACTCTGAGAATCCCAGCTGGTTGAGGACGTCATAAACCCCAGCTCTGGCAGCCACCTACCACAGAAAGACACAAAACAGCTATTAAAATGGCCAAAAAAAAAAAAAAAGAAAAGGTAACTGCTGTGGGTTTGGAAAGGACACAAAGTTAAAGAAAAATATCACAATTGATCATTTGGTGACAAACAGTTTCTATGTAGGTTGAAGGGTGACAAGCAGAATGATCAATGGAACATATCTAATATACTAAAAGTAACCAAAAAAAAATTAGATTTATTTTTTGATCACTTGAACACATTATGTCTGCAGCAGGCCTTTACTAGCACAGTTTGTGTTTAGTTGGCYGAGCGTCCAAACATGTTTAGAGACAGACGTGAGCTGTGGAGCACCTCGGTGGAAAGAGMTGATCATTTATCAACGATGGAGTTTGTAAATAAACTTGGCACAAAAAGAAAGGGAATTTGTGTTTGGTAGATTATTTCTTTGTTGTAACAAAGCTTCTGGGCAATAAGTCTTATACTGTTGGAAAGCCTGTACAGATTTTATCTGCCATTGCCAAACAGCTTATTTTACTGTTACTACTGACATTTGTTTTGAGCTTCTGGCATCCCCAGGTTCAACCAGCATTGGTTGCAAGTCAGTCAACGTGATTGTATTGTGCCCCTTTTCCACTAGTGCCACTTAGTGTAATGTCGGTACGGTCAGTGTTGGAATGGGTCAGTTCGGGTGCTTTTCCATTGACGTTCCAGTCCGGTTCCAGTGGGTGTGTTTTGGGCGGTTGGTGGAGGTGGTTTTTGGGTTTTTCAAAAAAGAGTTAATGTCCAAAATGAGACATGGAAAAACATTTGCTGACTAAGTTCTGAAATCTTAAAAATTCACAAAAATTTTGAATTAAAATTGGATAGAAACACGACTAATGTTGCTGCTACAATTGAAAAAACGGTGCCTTGAGTTGTTGACATCACCCCATAGCCAATCAGTGACAAACAGAGTTCTGATGTCACATTTTGGTGTCAACTGGGACCGCTTGGAACCACAAAGAAGTAGGTACTAAAAAAAGGGCTGGTTCCATGAATCTGGCCTAATGGGAATGGCTTGGAACCGTACTGAACCATACTGACACTACACTAAGTGGCACTAGTGGAAAAGGGGCATTGGTTATCATGGCAGGAACAGCACGCCCAAGATGATCCCACAAGTGTTCAGTGGGATTGAGGTCTGGTCTGCTAGCAGGCCATTTCAACCTCTCCACTGCCAAATTTTGGAGGTAGTCTTTGATAAACCACGCAGTGGGGGAGATTGTTGTCATCTTGAAGGACAGAGTTCAGTGCCAGACTTTGGACATATGGGATTGCCACTGGTTGCAGAATTTCATYTCAAYACCTCTGMATTGAGATGGCCTCCAATGATGACAAAYCTCATTTTTTCAATAAGGGAGATGCTGCCCCACACCATCACTCTGCCTCGACCAAAAGATGTTACYCTATCGGTGCAGCATGGCATTCTCYTCACCTTCTCCACACTGCTGTAAGMAGAATCTGGAATCATCATTGAACGTAATGTTCCTCCACATGTTCAGTTCCAGTGAATGTGTTGTTGACACTAGCATAAACGAGCCTGACGGTGACGGGCAGTAATGGCTGGCCTCTTGGTTGTGCGATGAGACCGGAGATTGGCTCCGTGCYTGTTCCAGATTGTCTGGACAGAGACATACCATCCTGCAAACCCTGWCTGAAAATCTGTAGAACACTCCATTGCATGGGTCTTATCCAGATCAGTCAAATGTAGCATACTGATTTTTGGAGTAGATACTAGCAGGGTCCATGCACATAGGCACTGCCTAAAGCTCAAAACAAAAGTCTACAGCAACAGCAAATGCAAAATAAGCTGTTTGGCAATGGCAGAGAAGATTTAGCAATGTTTTTATGTGTGAAACTCACATACTCAGCTGTACTGCTCATCCAACAAATGCATGTTCCTTACAAATGTGGCACCATTTAAAAGGGCAATTAACAGSCTTTCCGACGGTATAAGATTTATTGCCAAGAAGCATTGTTACAACAAAGAAATAATCAACCAAACCCAAATTCCCTCACTTTTTGGGCTAAGTTTAGATTTCCAGGTTATACTGTTCATTTAATGTTGATGCATCTTAGACATTAAATCCCTGTTATGCTTAAAGGTTATGTTTTACTTTGCAGATTCCTATTTTTACATGAGGGCTAGTGAGTGAAATAAAAAGTAACTTTTAAATAAAAAAAAGTGCTTAGGCCTTTTATTTGATTTTGTTGTAACCATTAAAATGTTATAAATCAGAAGTACCAACCACCTCACTAATGTAAGTTGTCCAGACCATTAAAAACAACAAATCTGGGGCAACATTACAGAGACAAAATCTCAGTTTATCTCGGAAAATTTCATGAATGAATCTGAATTGTGAGGAGGGAGAGGCAGTTTCCTCAAGAGACTTGGCTGTTCGTCTTATTCAGCAGGTCACGCTGAGTTACGATCTACCATCGATGTCAAACATCAACGATTCACGGGAAACACTGCAAGCAACCAGAACCATATGGACACAAAGTCAATGCAAAACCAGCAAACACAGACTTCCCCCCGAAAAATAACTTTTAAAGATCGAATGGCCAATTATAAGTGGTGCAACATGCCAATTTAATTCTAAAGGGGAAGCTTCAATATTCAATCACTTCCATGAAAAAAACAAAAACAAAAAGAAAAGCACACAAGAACAAGTCAGTTCCTGTGGGAAGTTCTCCCTTGCATGTGATACTCTTAGTTTGGCATCAGTGCAGAAACTGAATGAAGCCACGGGACATTTAGGAGAGAATGTGTCGTAAAACATTGCCAATTGAATTTCTTTTTATTCCTAGGCAGTCAAGAAACAAGGAAGACAATGAGAAGAAAATACTAAACACAAAAAGAAATAAGGGCATATTTCACTTTCATGCCACACAAAAATGGAAAATCTCCTTCTGGTTTGTATTATTATGGTTGAAAGATAATCATTTAAGTGCTGCTTGAGATACCTTCAAAAAGGGGTTGTCATGGTAAATGCTGAGAAACCTAAACGGGAACAATGAAGAGAAATAATACTATCATAATATTCCTTTCACTAACAATGATTRTAGGTTATCTGGCCAAGTTTGTGCAGAAATAAACAGACATTGTGAAGTATGGTCTGGATTACAGAGCAGTCATTTTTTACGATGGATAAAGTTAAACTTCTATCTAGGCAGATTCTAAACCTGAATTACATGAATAAAAAGAATCCCACGGCTTCTGTTTATCCTGTTTTATAGCAGCTGTTTACAAGTAATCCAGTTCTTTTCATTCCATCCATGTCTGTGTCTGACGTGTTCCTGGAAAGCYGACAGCCTGCGTGCTCTACAAGCATTTTGATGGGAACAAATGACTTAGTGCAGCTGAACCATTTGTTAGCAGATGTGACTCCATTGAGAGACACCGGATTTGCACAATTAACCAGGACAACCTGACTCATCCGCTCCGCAGCTTTGCTGGCAAAATAAAAAGGGACGTGTGGAAAAACAGTTTACAGTGAACATTTTCGTAATAACGATGTGTCAATATTTAAAACTGGAAGAAGTTTCATTCGTGTAGGAGGTTTGTGGTGTTGCCCATTATAGTGAGGTTTGTGCAAAACTGTTCTTTCTAGTCTTAAATGGTGGATAATATAGTAAAGGCAGAGGTTGGTCCTGTGCACTCTTTTTCATGGAGCCGGTCTTCTCGGAGTTTCTCTAATGCTTTTGTCCAAACAAATCACTTTTTTTATGCTTTGTTCCGTCCTTTTCACTTCATCATGCTAAATGATGGTAGGGTGAAAATAAAAGCTCAAAGRGAGAAWATATATATACACACACATCAAAGCAAATCTTTATAACTGCACAACATAAAACAGAAAAAAATCCCCAAGAAATGGTTTTATCTGCTGTAAATCACAGCACCATGCTTCACTTGATGCTCTCATTTTGCAAACTGGCCTTGAAGTCGCTGCCTGGTGGTGCCTTTTGGAAAAAAAAATCATGTCTTTCAGGCTGCATTGAAATGATCACTAATACCAAAACTCATTATGTGGCTGAAGCAGCAGTGCTGGATGGAGGGGGGTGGGTAGCGAGGATGCACTGGTTTTTCCCACAGTCATATCTCAAAGGCTGCACATACTACACTGGTATGGGGGGGGGGGGCACACATCAAAACAGCTGGAGTGACTGATAGAGTAGCCCTCCTACAGGCATCTGAGGTATGCACTGTACACAAGTCCTGCCATTGTGCAGCATCTAACATTTTTGGATTAGCAAACACGGATTCAAATCGAATACCTCTTTTGATCTTTTTGCTCTGATCTGACATTATGGCCTGATGACACTATAAGCAAAACTTTCCCCGAATATGTTCATAATACATCAGTCAGCACTAATTACATCAAATGCTACATACAGTAGCATGTATTATACAGTATTGTGTACTATATATTGTGATTCTTTCTTATATAGGATTCTTACTAAGTATGGGAATCAAACAGTTTTTAAAATTCTCCTCCAGCATGAAACAAACCCATCAAATGAAACAAAATTAGGGATGTACCGATAGCAGTTTTCTGGCCAATGCAGATGTTTTTTATATGAGAGACACTGTCAGGTATTATCAGGTCACAACACACCATAAATATTCCAGTCTTATTGTACTGAAAAACAAAATCTCTTGAAATCAAYTTCAGGCAACATACGACCATCAACACACCATGGTACTGTACCAACCCTTTGGACAACCAWCGTCTGAGATTTATTTATTTTTAATCGTAGCACTAAAAATGACTGCTACAAAAACAAATAAAAAGACAACAACAATAGCAACTGAGTGGTTATACTGTTAATATTTTTAAGAAACGTGCACTTTTTTATTTTAAAAGCTTGTGGCATAGAAGCAAAGTTAAAAACAATCAATGCAAAGCAAATGCTCAAAAGTTGTTTTTTTTTTTTTTTTGGTTTATGCTTTATTTAGAAGATAGGAAAGTAAAGGCT